CTCTCTCTCTCTCTCTCTCTCTCTCTCTCTCTCTCTCTCTCTCTCTCTCTCTCTCTCTCTCTCTCTCTCTCTCTCCTGCAATGTGGCTTCCCAGTGACTAGCTGTCCAAGTCGTTACTGTCGAACACCCACAGACATATCTTGTAGATTAGTTAATTAGCATTCTGGGCTAATAAAGAAGTCCCTGTGCCCTGAACTCATCTGTGTGTACCTTAAAGACAAACCAAATCAGGTTACCTGAACTGTGGTGCACCAAGGATGGACCCCTGAATCAAAGATAGTGACCAAATGCTGGGGGATCAGGGGAGGATAGGAGGGGGTGCTGAGGGGGGTAGGAAGGGGGATCAGTAGGTGGGGCCAGAGGGGTAGATTACCAGCTGGTCTCTCTAAGTCAGCCTTGCTGCTCTGCCAGGAACGCTTTTCACTCCAAGTTCTAAATGCAGGAGCTACAATATCAAGTCTCATAACGAAAATGAGTTGATAAATAAATAGTGGCATGCACACTTTAGTGATGTACAAATTAAAATCTGGAGGGAAGTACTGCTCAAAGCCCTTTTCTGTTTCAGAAACTAGACTATCCTGAGTGATCAAATAAAGCCTAGCTGCAGCTAGCTGTTTTGAAAGAGACAGAATAGAACAGAAGACAGGGCAGGGCAGGGCAGGATGGGAGACATGATGTAGGTAGACTAGAAAGCCTGTACAGGCATGTGCACCACGTATGCATACATGTGCACACACCACCACCCTCACACACAGAGAGACAACGAATAAATTGCACACCGTGACCCTTTCTGCCCTGGCTTACTCCCACATTGTCTCTCGAATCATGAGATACCTACCTCAATGTTTCGCTTAATAAAATCTTGGCTGAGTTTACTCCTAAGCTCAATCTTTTCTGTACTTGGGAAGAGTTTCTTTTCTGTTTTAATCAATGGCACATCACAGGTAAAATCTAGTATTGGAAGAGTTAAAAGTGATCTCATAATTACAATTGTGAATCATACAAAAAATTCATTTAATTTTATGTTAAAATATATCTTAAAAACATAAATAGAAGAAATAATTTTTAAATTCTTGACCCAGAAACAGAGTATGGACTTTTTCTTTGTTTTAGATTTATTTTCTCCCCATCCTCCTTAAGCCAGATTTCTATCAGTGACAGCCTACCTTTTAAAATAGTTTTTCAATTAAAATACAATTATATCATTTCCCTCCTTCTCTTTCCTATCTCCAACCCCTACCACCACCACTACCAGGTACCTAACTTGCTCTCTGTATCTCCAAATCATGGCCTCTTTTCCTTTAATTATTGAGACATACATATTATACAGATACACAAACACTTAAATGCAATCTGCTCAGTCTGCATAAAGTTACTTGTATGATATGATTTGAGGACTGACCACTTGCTATTAGATAACCAACTGGGAGGCTCTTTCCTGCAGAGAATAATCTCCCCCTCTCTCTCACAACCAATCAAAATGCAGAGAACAAACGATGGTGGAGCGTCCAGCCCCAGTGATACATCTAAAGACAACTCCTGCACCTAAGGCTCAGAGCACGTCAGGGGAGAGGAAATCCTCTCTGTGTTTGAAAAAGGTTTCCTTTCTGTTTTGATCAATGCATCATTTCTTTCCCTCCTCACAGGTAAAATCTAGTATTGAAAAACTTAAAAGTGATCATGTAATCACAATTGTGGGGAAAAAAAAGGCTGTAAGAGCCAGAGGAACAGGTAGTCTGCTATCTACTTTTTAAAAACTATCATGCAAAATTTCAAATATCCAGTAATCAGATGCAATAAAGAAGTTTCAGTCAGTGACTTCACCATGGATCAACTCACAAAGGATTATTTGCCACATATGTTCGTAGTGCTGTGACTGAGCCTAGTACCTTCCAAGTCCTAGGCGAGCTCTCTGCCATTGAGCTCAGCCTAAGCCCTTGTGCAAACTCTAGCTCCTTCTTCTTCATCCATTTACTCTAAATTGTACCAAGTCCCCTTCATCCATGGCTATTTCCGTATACAGCCAACATCCTCTTGTGGCAATCTATATAATCACATGAATTAAACATACCTGTCTTCATATTCTGCATGCAATTTTCATAATTTTCTGGAGAAATCTGAGTATGAAACACTGAGAAAAAGTCGTCTTCAAACTCACAGTGCGAGGGCTCTACTGATACAAAAAGAGAAAAAAGAATGTTCAACGTCCACAAAGTAAGATAATCTACACAATGGACACGAGAGAAAGGATTGAACACCTCTCTACTATTCCTCAGTCTGCTGTTTCTGGAAAAGTCAGTGTGGCTCCCAAGTTGACATGGCAGTCATCATCACATGAGCCCTGGAAACGGACTGCAGAGGACGGCCAGACAGCACTTCCTAGACACAGGAGAACATGCTAGAGCATCCCATTCTCTGTTGGTGACCCAGGCAGATCCCAGCATTTGTGACACAGGCAATGTGCACAGTCGGTAACAGAATTATGTTTTCCTCTTTATTTTAGGCCTCCAAGTTGAAGTTTTAAAGGTATAGTCAGCCATTAGCAGAATGCCTTTGAGCTGGGCAGGATGGAAAAAAAAAAACCTGCAATTTCAGCAACAGGGAGAAGACTCAAGAGGCCCAGGAATTCAGAGCAAATCCAAGGCCAGTCTGGGCCACATAAACAAAGCCTGCAAGATGGCTCCATGGGCCAAGGCACTTGCACGAGCCTTAAGACCTGCGCTCCATCCCAAGTACAGGTGGACGGAGAGAACCAACTCCACAGAGTCCTCTGATCTCCACACATGCGTGATACAGGCACTCCCACCTACCTGCACGTGCCCACACACGTGCATGCGTGCGCACACACAGTTTTTAATTTAAAAGAGAGAGTATATTTGGGAGACTCATGGAAGTTAGGAACTAACTTCCATGTTAGCTAAGCTCCATGCAGAATAAAGGACATTGCAATGCTAAACATTTTTTTTCTTTAGCAGTGATTTTTTTATATTTTCATATTAACTAATCTGATCATAATGTATCTTTATCCTGGCCAGTTTTACATCAGCTTGACACAAGCTAGAGGGTCACTTGAGAAGAGGGAGTCTCAGATGAGAAAATGTCTCCCTATAGGTTGCTTACAGACAAGTACATGGGAAGGCCCAGCTCACTGTGGGTGGTACCATCCTTTGCATGTGGTCCTAGTTCTATAAGAAAGCAGTCTGAGAAAGCCATGAGGAGTAAGGCAGTAATCATCACCATGGCTTCTGCATCAGTTCCTGCCTCCAGCACCCGTTCTGCTTGACCACCTGTCTCCCCTCACTGGTGTGATGTGACCACCTATCTCCCCTCACTGGTGTGATGTGACCACCTGTCCCCTTCATTGATGTGATGTGACCACCTGTCCCCTTCATTGTTGTGATGTGACCACCTGTCCCCTTCACTGGTGTGATGTGACCACCTGTCCCCTTCACTGGTGTGATGTGACCACCTGTCCCCTTCACTGGTGTGATGTGACCACCTGTCCCCCTCACTGGTGTGATGTGACCACCTGTCCCCTTCACTGGTGTGATGTGACCACCTGTCCCCCTCACTGGTGTGATGTGACCACCTATCTCAAAGTTCTGCTGCTGTAACTTCTCACAGTGACGACTGCAGCAGGGAACTGGGAACTAATTCTTTCTTCCCTAAATTGCTTTTTGTCAGGATATTTTATCACAGCAACAAAAATGCAGCTAGAAGAGATATTGATCAATTGAACGAAATATTATTCACAACAAACAAAGACTATCTACCGTGTCAGCAAAAGGCATGAGTATGTACTTCTGAGTGAAAGAATGAAGTCAGGAAAGGTTTTCACTGATAATTCCAATTATACAACATTCTTAAAAGTGTGAAATGATAAATAAAGTAAAACTTAGTGGCAGCTAGAAGGTGGGGGAAGAAAGGAGAGTTGAATGAGGGTTCACACATGGGTTCTTTTAGGGCAATTAAACTATTCTAGATCACTCAGTAATTGTGAATGCATGTCTTTTTAAAAAGCATTTACCACCAGAACATAAGAGCGAAAATCAACATTAGTAGATCTCTTGAAAAACTCGCTAAGAGACTGAGGAATCCTGCATATGAAATGCAGAAATGTGGCGAGACCATCCAGATGTGCGACAAATGCGGAGTGCAAGCTTGTGAAACAGAAACAGATGAAAAGGTGCCCAAACTCTCTCTCTGAAAAATGGGGCCTGAAAGACCAAAGGCAACAGGAACTAAATGTGAGGACTACATTGCAGGTGACCAAAGTGTCTTCTATGGGTTAGCGACACTGTCTGTGTGCCGTGCAACTGAAGAGTTAAGTAAGGAGATGGCAGAGGGTGAGAGAAGGCTAGAACATGACAGATAAGCAAGAGGGTTAGGCCACATGGTCCACGTGGGGTGGTGGAGTACAGGCAGACACACGAGTGTGTGCAAACTCAATTTTGGGTCATACAGAGAAGGCTACATATCGGCACATTTACAGACATGTCCATAAGGGGTTAGTACACGCACACACATTTCTTTTCCTAGTGGAAATTGCACCTGGCATCTAGATGCTGATGTTAAATGCCACTCTCCAGTGACAGGAATCGGGGCTCCTTGGAGACAAGCCTGATTCAAAGCTTGGGTTGGAAATATAGAAGAAACCAAAACGAGAAGATATGCCTGGCAAGAGACACAGAACAAATCCCACAGTGACAGAAATGAGGCAAAGGGAGGCAGGTACCAGCTAAGAGACCATCGCGTGGCCAAAATGGGAAAGTGGAGCCAACCCAATAAAGTTCACTGAAATCTACCTCAAAGTATAAAACCAAAACCCACTTTTATCAGTCTAATGCTGATACAGATGTGCGTGAGTAAAAGAGAAACAGATCCATCTCCCCTGCGGAATAACACGGAATAATGTAGGCCCATGGGCTGCCCGCAGTGAGGCAAAGCAAGGCTCCCCACTCCTCAGATGGAGACTATGCAGAGTTTCTTCCTCATAAAAGCAACAGTTGGCCAGAGGGAGAGGGAGTGACTTTACAAAAACAGAAAACTCAGACCAACACTGCCTCAGCCAGGGAGGGATGTGAGCATCGACAGCGCGGTCGGTACGCAAGCTAACACCGTGACGTAATGAAAATGGCACGCTAACCCTGCCATCCTCGCCATCCTTCTCCCAAGAGTGTGCAATTCAGTCTGATCATGGGAATATCATGAGCTCAACTCCAACTGGTGGATAAGCTACAAAATGCCAGACCAGTGTGCCTCGGCACTGCCAAGATCATCTCAAACAGGAAGCAGGAGTGTCACAACTAGGAGCTGACAAAGGAGGCTAATGTAACGCGTGGAATCCTGGGACAGGAAAAGAAAATTAGGTTAAAAACTAAAGAAATGTGAATAAAGTGGATAGAGTTGGACTCTTCTTAATAAGATCTGGTTCACTTCAAACATACCACACTCATGAAAGGTATCCCTGAAGGGGTGGTGTAGACAGAAAAAAAAAAAAATCTCTGTACCATCCTTGTAATTTTTCTGCCAATTTGGAGCTATGCTAAAATTAAAAGGCTTATTTTTTTCTTAATTCCCTCTTATTTTTTCAAGTAGGGAAAACCAAGAACAAAATTAGACATAGTGAGAAGACACACAAAATGGAGAATGACTAATAAGATACTGATCTGAGATGCTGCGTTAGTGGGGCTTTCCTTATTGTGTATGTGGAGACTTTAAGTCTAGAGTGAGGGAGTCCTGTCCAAACTGACTCCAGAAGAACCAGCAAATGGGAGGACGGTGGGCATGAGAGATGCCAGGAAGAGTCAGAGAACCAGCAAACAGGGGGACAGGACAGTGGGCATGAGAGACACCGGGGAGAGTCAGAGAACCAGAAAACAAGAGGACGGTGGACATGACAGATGCCGAGAAGGAAACAGTCAGAGAATGCCTCTAAGATGATCTGAGCCAGATGGGTTTCCCAGTGAAATTGTTCAGACTTTCAGGGAACAGATAATCCCCATGTTATGTAAACTGTTTCAAAGCATAGAAATAAATGGGTGGCCATGACCACTCATTTTCTGAAGCTGACATAACAAAGCACACACACACACCCTACTCCCACCCTCACACTACAACATCCGTGCAAGCACATACAAATGCTCACACATGTACACACACACACCCTACTCCAATCTCACCCTCAAACCACAACATCTGTGCAAGCACATGCAAATGCTCACACATGTACACACACACACCCTACTCCCACTCCCACCCTCACACTACAACATCTGTGCAAGCACATGCAAATGCTCACACATGTACACACACAACCTAATCCTGCCGCATTTTGTTTCTTCTTGTTTACTTATTTGTTTGTTTATGTGCATAGATGTGTATATATGCTGGGCATGCTCAAGTCACAGTGCACATGTGGAGGTCAGGGGACAACTTAAGGGAGCTCTTTCTCTCCTTCAGCCATGCAGGTTCTGAGATGGAACTCGGTTTATCAGACTTGGCGGCCAGTACCTCAACCCACTGAGCCATCTCTCTGCCTCTAATCCTGCTTTATAGAAACAAAAATTTCTGAATAAATCTGAATAAATTCAATCATTCAAATCAGTACCAACTAAAATAATAATCTTCCACAAGCAAGAAGGGTTGACCTAGGAGTAAAAGATAGATTCATTGTTTAAATCTGTTAGTTTAAAAATGTTAATTTTATCAAGAAAGAAATCCATAATAATTTAATTAGGTGTTGAAATGGGTTGAATAATCTTCAACACTAAACCTATGGTTAGTGTTGAGAATGAGAACAATTATTGAAGAAGACAAAAAAGTAATATTTTTTTCTGGTTGATATGTTTAAAATTAACAAAATCCAAGGCATACAACTAAAGATTATCAGAATAAATAGCATTATATAATTAATTATAAAATATTATGCAATCAAGTATAATTAAAAATTACAATATAGTTAATCATAAATTTATAAAAACTCTTTTCTCCATATCACTTAGACTTTGGGGAAATATGCCAAAGTAGTCCCCAAATGAGGTAGCAAAAGAGCTCTACAAAATCAATAAATCTGCTAATAAATATGTGAAACCTGCCAATTCCCTGGTACACGAAAGAGCCTATGTTAGACACCATATTCTTTTTACTATTGTCTAGTAATCACGGAAATGCTAACTATAACCCAATCTATTGAGTACTCATTCCCCGTACTAAGGGATACAAGCTGCCTTGTTGTAAGGACGCATAAGTATTCTACAGTGGAATTTATGGAATTCATGAGAAACTTAAAAAGTCTGTCAAAGGTGGGCAGGGAACTAAGATCTCCCAGGAAGCGCTGTGAGTGATTTTAGGAGCTGCCTCAGGCTCCTCCTTGGAGCCTTCAGATGGCCATCAGCTTGTGGCAGGAGGAAACCTCGTCAGAACCGCCCAGCCACACTTCTCCAAATGGATGAAATTCCAAGAGAGGATTTGCTTAATATACCAGGTTATGAGGGTAATTTGTTATACACAACAGGTAAACTAATAGTTATACCACAGGGAAATAAGAATAGGAGAGAGAGAGAGAGAGAGAGAGAGAGAGAGAGAGAGAGAGAGAGAGAGAGAGAGAGNAGAGACTAAAACTAAATGGTGAAGGAGAGAGAGAGAGAGAGAGAGAGAGAGAGAGAGAGAGAGAGAGAGAGAGAGAGAGACTAAAACTAAATGGTGTAGGAGAGAAATGCTGAAGACTAGACTCTTAAGAGAAGAAAAAGGGAGCTGCTGCCGGGCAGAACAGAGTCTCCTCTGAGGAGCTGTTACTCAGGGAAGACCTCTAGGAATCAGGTTGCACTAACTGTAGGTGCATAATTTAAATTCAAGACAAACTAGGTCCCCTACTAAGAGCTTTGGGCCTTTAAGAACAGGTTGTGACTAGATGCTGCCACCCAGTGGCTGATGTACAAATATTTGGCACTTCTGTGGTCACAGCAAGGGAAGACCCTACTTTCCAAAGGACACAGACACTCTCTGTGGTTAGACTTCAGTGTGCCAGCTAGTTTTATGCCCACTTGACACAAGCTAGGACGAAGGAAATCCTAACTGAGAATGCCTCCGTCACTCAGCCTACTTTCATATTCTGAATTCTATTACACTGCCCAATGCCCCCCTCAGTGTTGCCTTTCCCCTTCTCCTGGGCCATTTTCTAGTTCCCTGACCTCTGCACACACTCGCTCCACATAAGCACACACATAAAAAGTAGGATCTAGGATCAGCATAGGAACAAGGAAGTGTACTCTTCGTCTTTCTGAGACTGGGCGACCTCCCTGCAAATCAGCTCCTTTCTGGAAAACTTCACTTTTTTTTTTTTACTGCTCAATAAAACCCCACTGTGTGCATAAACTGCATTTTCATTATATGTTCACCTTTTGATGGACAGCCAGACTGATTCCTTTTCTTGTTGTTGTCAATAGAGCCGCAGAAAACGCAAGTGTGTGTGTATTTCTACCTAAGAACAGGAGTCTTTGGGGCAGATGCCCAGGAGTGGTGGCGCTAGGCTGTAGGGCAGTCCTGGTTGGACTTTCCGAGGCACTTCCACCCTGATTCCACAGTGGCTTCACCAGTTTATACCCCGACCAGTGGGGAAGAGTTCCTCCTTCCCCACATCCTCCCCAGTACCTGTCGTTTGCTTTCTCCAGGACGGTCACTCTGACTTGTGTGAGACAGAATACCTAAGTCATTTTCATGGATATTTCTGCAGTGATTAAGGATGCTTAACACTTTAACAAATATTTACTAGTCATTTGCACTTCTCCTTTTGAGAATATCTGTCCTGGTCTGCAGGCTCTCTGTTCAGTTCAGTTTGTAGTTAGCTCCTTTCATTGTGTCAAAGATTTTAATTTATTTGAATATATATTTGTTCATTTCTCATGTGCATGTATGTGCATGTGTGTGGTATGGGGAGGTCAGAGGACAACTTGTAGGATCAGTTCTCTCCACCTACCAAGTGGGTTCTGGAGCTTGAACCCAGGTCTTCAGGTTTGGATGCAAGTGCCTTTACCCACGGAGCCATCTCATTGGCCCATCAAGTGTTTTTAGTTTCTCAAAATCCCATTGTCAATTCTTGGGTCTATTTTCTACGGTATTGGGTTCCATTCAGAACACTCCTTCAATGCCTGTATCCTAAAGTGTCCCTAGCAGTTTCAGTGCTGTGGGTTTAAACTAGGGACTTGGATCTGCTTTGAATTGATTTTTGTATGGGATGAGAGACATGGGTCTAGTCTCATTCTTCTGCAGATGGCTATCATGTTTTGCCAGGACTAGTCATTTAACAGGCTGTCCTATTTCCAGCGTATGTTTTATCACTTTCATTAAAACCAGCAGAGACTTGGAAAAGTTCACTGACAAAGAAGTCCCTCAATCTAGACGGGGCAATGCAGACGGAGCACCCAGACTCTTAGGAGAAAAGTCTGGTGCACAGTAGTAATGAGCATACCTAAAGCTTTAAGCAGGAACATCAAAGTGCCATAGACATCAATGCTATTTCATCACAGAAAAGGCAATACGCATGCTGGGAGAGATATATTCAGCAGAAACACTGACAACAATAAAAGAAATTCTTGACTGGGAAAAAAAAAACAATTATTCAAGGTTCTGAGCTCTCAGTGCTGGACTCAGACAGAAGCAAGTGTGAAGAGACTCTCCCTCAAACCACACCTCCACCAGAACTCTTCCAGGAGCCTGAATCAGGCATTTGGGTTCTGAAATGTTAAACATTCCCTTTGTAAGGACAAAAGGAACCCAGCCTTCTCACAGAACTCAGAGGCCCTGCTTAGAGCAGCCGTACCCACACAAAACTGGAGTATCACGTATGTGACGTGTGGAAGGGGAGTCTGAAACCATCCTGCTGTAAAAGAAGGGAGGAGAGGAGGAAGCATACAGAGAGACGGGGAAACAAAAAAATCAAAGAAAGAAAGAAGCAAACTAGCTGGCCTCTGAAGGTAGGGCTGTGAGATAATAAGAAATGGGCAAACCAGCAATAGATTTTTACAAAGGGGTTGCACAGGACTGAGAGATCTCTGGTGAGATCTTGCTGTACACTTAAAAGATTTGCCACTCAAATTTGTTTAATAAAACGCTGATTGGCCAGTAGCCAGGCAGGAAGTATCGGTGGGGTGACCAAACTAACAATGATGGGAGTCAGAGGAATCTCTCCAGCCAGACACAGAGGGAGCAGGAGATGAATGTGTTATACTAATAAAGGTACCACCATGTGGCAAAGTATAAATAAGAATAAGGGTTAACTTAAAGCGTAAGAGCTAGTTAGGAATAAGCCTCAGCTATTGGCTGAGCATTTATAATTCATATTCAACCTCTGAGTTGGTTATTTGAGAACTGGTGGGCGGGAAAGAAACATCTGCTTACAAGACCTCAGCAGGGAGAGGACTGAGGTTATGAAGTAGCATCTAGAGGATCTAAGAGGACAGGAAATGAATGCAAAGACATCCCGGACTGGCTTCAGTGTTTCCTCTGCCCTCTCACCTCTCCCTAGATACAACCCTGAAAACACTAAAACAGACCTACCCTCAGACACTTCCCTCCAGTCCTATCTAATGCGATCATCTCTTCCTCTGAAACGCGCCAACTCACAGAGAAAAGGGGCAGCACATGCCAACCTGGGACAAGAGGGCTTAGCAGCCTCCCTCTGCTTACCAGCTGTTCCTGCAGATTCCGAAGTCAAACACAAAAACTTTTTCGTGTTTTCCAACTCCTCATCATTTTCCAAGTCTTCAGTACTTTTTGCAGACTGATGGAAGAAGAGTTTAAGTTTAAATATGAAAAAGAAAGGTAAAAATACCTGTCCGTTCTTATTTCAACCCAGTTCTCAATTGGGTATGTACACGGAGGGGTCATTCATTTGCATTCCTTTGCCTAGGAAATCTGCTACAATTTACTGTTTCTCCAAAATCCCAGAAAAGAACTTACATACATAGTGTTATAGTTTAAAGTATCTTCATATATGTGTGTGTCTATATATAGAGAGAGATGCATAGGTACATACAAATATATATTGAGTTACGTGTGTGTGTGTGTGTATTGAGTTATCCACAGGTATCCCACCAAACTGAAATTTCAAAATTGTCCTCATGTTTTATTATGCTTCTAATTGTAATTCTTAGTTTTATACAAATTAAAATTTGTTTTGTGTTTCAGCAGAAAACAGACTCACTTTTTCTGCTAAATTATATAAAATCATCCTCTTGTTTAAATTTGACAGCAGTTTCTCTGCCCACCAGGATGGTCTTCCCAGGAGGCCCATACAAATGTATCCCTGCTCACTCCATTCTGACTCTCACTGCTTAGGGAGCTTCCTCTGAGGTTAGCCTGTGGCAAGGATGACTGTCAGCAAGGGCCGTGTGCTACCACAGAATCCCTTTCTCACAGTTGCTCTCCTCTGAGTCAGTGGCTCTGAGACTGTGCCAACATTTGTTCAACTGCAACCTCTTGATGCTATGGAGAACAAGAGACCAGCGAAGGCCACAGAAAGTTGAAATCAGGCTCCAGAAATGCGGCAACAGGGAGGCAAATGGAGCCCAGCCCAGGCTGAGGCCATTTTGTAACTTCTCAAGAGAGTCTGGGCAGCACGTTATGTAGTGAGCCCTGTGACTCGTTTGTCCCGAAGGGTTACTTAATCAATAACACCAATAATGACTTAAGGTTTTGTGAGTGCTTGTCTATTTCTCTCCAAACTATAAACTCAAAGGAGAAAAAGCAGGTATACATCTTTCATAAAAATCGTCATCACATCCCTTCCTACTCAGATGCTAGCAAGAGAGGTTTGCTGGGCTTGCCCACAGGTAATGAGTGTGTCAGAGCAGGGCCAGAAGGCTGAAATGTCACAGCTCAATTATCCTCTCTGGCTCCAGAAAATATCCATCCCAACACACACACACACACACACACACACACACTGCCACCACTTTTGCGAAACATATCAATAAGGCAGAACCACATCACCACCACCACAGGCCACACTTTTCTTACTATTCGAGGAAACTGACTTACAGTTCTTATCTTGAGTTCTTCCCACAGCTTAATCCTCATTTCTGCACCTTGCTTTTTAACTTCCTTCTCTCTGCTTTGTCTTTTGGCCAGTATCTTATCGAGTCTGTGCATCTTACGAATAGCGTTTAGGAGCTGAGCATCTGGCTCTTCCAGCTTGGGATCACCTGCATTGTGTTAAAGGGAGAAATCAATGTGAGGTTTGATAAAACAGCAAAGCTTTGCTTTGATTTTACTTCTTGTTCTTTCATTCAACCAATACTGATGGCCAATTGATACATTTAGTATCAATACCAATGGCCAATGGTAACACCCAATACATTTAGTATCAATACTGACGGCCAATGGTAACACCTAATACATTTAGTATCAAGTACAAACTTCATGGACAAAGTGACTTCTTGAGAGTCTTCTCATATAACCATCCGATCACACTGAGAGGCAGAAATTTATCTCTGTTCTACAGTGGGACCTCAGGACCCTTTAAAAGGGTAATAAGTTATGGCACTGGGCACAGAAATGGTTCTCTTATGATTTTAAGTCCCAAGTTGTTTCTCCTCCATCCTGCTAGATTGTCTATATCCAAACCTGCAAAATCCAAAGTAAAGACTGAGACATGGACCCTCTTTTAAACTGTTTCAGACTAACTGAAAGAGGAGACATGTACCAGAGAACTCCAGTAGAGGGCAGGTCACGCGGGGTAGGTATTCACACAGAGTGGGTAAACACACTGATTCCACATCCACAAACATGTCTTTTTCTGCTCTCTCTCTCTCTCTCTCTCTCTCTCTCTCTCTCTCTCTCTCTCTCTCTCTCTTTCTCTCTCTCTCTTTGATTTTCTGAATCACATAAAGATGTTTGTGACAAGACGATAACAGGTGATATCTTATTTGAAATGAAGGACTTTAGAGGTTTTCTCATTCAGGGCTTAACTGACAACGTAACAACTAATGGTAATCACAGCACCTGTCATGGTAGACTTGCCCAATGGGCACAATGCAAAGTGATTTACTCATATGCCCTGGCCAGTCTCATGCAGCCCAATGCATTCTCTCTTCCTTTTGATTAGTAAACTGAGGCAAATTTGTATCTGAATTACATGCATATTCAAAGTGTTCTAACTAGTAAACAAACGGTAAGCTCCACCCACATGTGTCTGACTCCCATAGTGCGAGCACTTAGCTACCAGCTACCCCCTCAGTTACCCCCTGTGAAAACTGACAAACTCGAAATGGGCGCCAATGCTCCAGTACTAAGTCTTAGAATTCCCAGGTCAGATCATTCGAAAAGGAGCATCATGCTAAGTAAGAGCCCAGAGTCAGTGATGTTTGCCTATAATGTACATCTCTACTTTTTTAAGAGAAAAAGAGGGAAGACATCAAAAGAGAACATCAACCTATAAAGAGGTTACTAAGATGATGCTGTTTGCAAACTTCAAATACAATAGCTTCTAGTTTAATTCCCAGCTACCAGTCCTGGCATTCCCAGGCTCACTGTCCACAGTTAGTTCATATGCCAGGTCGTATTTTGAACAAACTCACACAATATGAAAAAGTATATAAAGAGATGCTGGGCACAGCCAGTTAGGTAATTTCAGCAACCCTGTTAGCTGTGTAACAACTGCAGCCCCGTACAGTTTGGTGCCAGGGTCTGGACTGGCAGTTCAGCCCAAGCAGCCGACTCACCATTACTTCTGGATCATCACTCCCAGAACATTTTACCAGGGCAGGAGGCCAAAATGCAGGTGGCACCTCAGTGTGGGATGAAAATGGTGTTCACCTTCCAGGGTCTCTGCGAGAGTCTCGGAGACACCCACGTCCCCAGAGGTCTGCACCTCACAACTGAGAACTGCTGTTCTAACTCAGTCTGACCAGAATTAGTTCAATATCATGAGAAAAAGAGCTCCTAAGACATCAGGATCAGTCATCATCACTGGGGTTACCCTTAACGGTACTTAGAAATGGCCTAACACAGCATCAAAACTGACCTGTGAACCACGCCATACAATACAGAAATACTCCCCTTTAATGAATGTAATATGAGCAAAATAATAATAATCTTATCAAGTAACATGCTTTGTTATATTTCTAAATGTATTTAAAGACTAAAAAACATGATTAATTTCTTACCAAAAGCATGTTTCCTTTTTGGTTTATTGCTTATACTTAGCTGAAAAAGTATAGTTCTAATATTTTAAATACAGTATCTGCGATTATCATCAGCCAATCACCCAGCGATCACCCCACCTGAAGGCTCGGGGACCATCGGTTGAGCCAAGTCCAGGTCTTCATCTGAGCCCTCTCTGGCTGGGTCTGTGCGCTCAGAGTCGTCTGCCCACTTACAGTCATGACTATTTCTTCTTCCTTCCACACTACTACTGGATGAGCGGCCCTCCTTATTAGAATTCAACTTGTTGGCCATGTCAATCTGAAAATCATTTTCAACAAAAGAATTTCCAAATTACAATACTCATACTCAAAGACACTTAAAAGGATAATACGTTTTCTTAAAACTTCACATACCGTAGCCTTTAACATTAATGAAAGCCCTATGGAGATGTGTAAATACCCACACCAGCACTGGAGTTCTAGAAACGTTAATGAAGTGCAACTTCACTGAAAATTAAATTGATACCATTGCCCCCCCCACCTTAAGTAATAATTGGAAGAATTGAGACTGGCCCCAAAGAGCCTTGTTCAGGAGCCAGGAGCACTGCTCCCCGCTGTCCACAGCAGCAGCCCCGTCCCCTGGCCCGATGCCGAGCGAGCTGAAGGACTCAGAAGTGGTTCTGAATTGTGAATGAGATGTGTTTCTAATGAGAGTCTTCTAATGAGACGCACATGCTGGGTGAACCCCAGTCTCCTATTTTATTTCCACTCCCAGCCCCCCAGCCTCAGCCGCTGGGAGGGACCCACATGTGGGACATGCCACCACAGTGACGGGCAGCCCTAGGACCACTCTCAAGGGCAAAAGGGACTCTAAGAATAAACGGACAAGTGCACAACACAGGGTCTCTTCATAACACAGGGTCTCTTCATAACAAGGTCTCTGTTGTTAGGCACTGTGGCCAGCAGGTTAGCAGGCCAAAAGCTTTGGGGAGTTCTCCTGTCTCCAACACGCCCCCACCTCACCACAGACACACTGGACGTACAGATGTACACTGGCATACCCAGATTTATGTGGTTCTGGGGGCTCAAGCTCAGGTTCTCACAGTACGCGGCAAGCAGTTTACCTGAACCATCTATTTTTAAATACTAAGCCATTTTCATAGTAAATGTCAGTGGGTGTATATTAGATACCGGAATACAAAGTTTCCCTATGAAGTCAAACAACACACAAAAAGTTTAACACAGATTCTAAGAAAGCATACCCAAAAATAAAGAAGGTAGTGGGGAGGAGGAGAAAAGAACTTAGCATGCACATCCTGAACAATCTACGGAAAAGTCAGGAACCTGGGAATACCGTCTGAAGACAAAATGGGAGTCAAGCTTGGTCTCTTCAATTGTTGTGGCAGACAGCTTGATTCCTTTCCAAATGGAAGATTACCTTGAAGGCCCCTGGTTCTGGCGAGAGCACCTCCAGAGACGCATTGGAACTTCTGCTGCCAGAACGTGATCGTGAACTTGAGGCTGGTTTTGAAATTCCATCTAGGTTTCCTTTTATAATATCCATTGACATCCTAAACCAAGCCAAAAGAATTAAGAAGCAAGTGACTTAGAAGTCAAAATGTCTCCTTGATCAGTCTAGGCTTCCAGACAATGACTCAGAACATATTCACTACCACAGTCACACACGTAAGCAAGCACTCCTCAGTGTCATCAAGGGAATCTTAGTACATGGATTATGTATCAGGTACCGACAGCAGATAAAGCGGGATGTAGATGTGAACGCTGTCTCACTGTCTTGATGCAGGAAAACAAAAACAAAAATGTGCTACCTTGCTCTTCCGCAGGAGAACACTCCAAGGACACCTCTCTAACCCTAACCCCCTGAATCATAAGGACTTGCTAAGGCCTCCCGCCTGCCTCCATCTGGGCTCGCCCTCCTTCCAGCCTTTCCTGCTCCAGATAGGTCACATTTTTTGGAGCGCTTTCCTCCACAGCACAGCCCTCATTTAATCAGCTCCCCGCTCCTGAAGTCCGCAGTTTTGCTTCTGACTGACACAAGAGAATCAAACTTGCAGCCTTTATTACAGGACAGACTTGCATTATCTGGTTGTGCTTTGTCAACCGCCTCCTTAACCACTTTGCACGAGACTCTCCACAGGCTGTCTTCATCATCGCCGCTGTATGTCTACTGGAAGTAAGACTAGCTCACCTGGCTTCAACTAGTGGGAGAAGACAAACCCTTCCAAACCATGCCCTTGATAACGACCCTTACAGATCCGCTGGGGATAGGGGAACAATATCATGCTGGAAACCAGAAGAAACTGAAAATCCCGCTCAAATATGAATGGATATGTAGGCACTAAGACTGCAATGTCCCTCCTCGTCCTACAAAACTGCCTTTCATTCAGTGTGTGAGCCGCAGACTCAGAGTCCAAAGAGGCTCGGCACACCAAAGGAAGCTCCGACAGTGACGAGCTGAAGCTGCTCTCGGGCTCACTGAGGAATGACATGGCCTGGCCTCCAGCTGCCCCATGTGCCACTGCTGCTGACTGCAGAGAACAGTTGGCCAACCCTTCCCACTCAGCAACTGAAAGGTATTGATGTCAATATTATTCACACGGTGTAAAAGGGCCGGGGCTCGCTCAGGAAGGGCCTGACATGGTTACTGTGGGATGATGGATCACCCTGGCCCCGTCACGTCTCCACCGAAAAGCATAAGTCACTAAAAGGCCAAATGTCTTCTCCATGCCCTTAGCAGCCTGGGAGGAGCGGGGAGCGGAAGCATGTGGCAGAGCCAATATGATACACATCCAAAAAAGGCCAGGGCACAGGGACCCAGCCGTGTCGTGGATCAGTTAAAAGACCCCAGAAATCTTTCCATTTGCTTCAAAATCTGCTCTGTTACTATTATGTTCCCTCCCAAGCATATCAAATTAAATAAATCATGGTTCACAGAAAATGTAACTGACACAGACTGTCTGTGTATTTCACCATCTGGAAAAGAAGTCAGAATAAAGACCATTGTTCTGAGAGCTTATAGATGTATTGTGTGTTTAAGGAACCACTTGTCACACAGAAATCCCCAGTGAAAAATGAAGAGGTGGACAAGAAAGCAACCAAACAGTGTGTGCTTAGTTATATACTTAGTGTACTGAGTATGGATTTAACCAATATCATGCCTTCACTGAGTGTATGGGGGTGGGGAACAGTATCCAAAAGGATGGGTGTAGAAGATCTATTATAATAGGAAATTGGAGAGGATATCCAAAAATTGATAAAGCCAAAACAAGAGTTAATTAAGAGTTCAAGATGGCTGCCTCCAGAGGCTGTGACCGGGAATTCTCTATTCCACTTCACAGTTTAACACTTGGGCCATATTATTTTGGTAAAAGCAAAAGCTATTGCTAAAAGTAATATATAGTTGGCAAAGAAATCACTGATGTGCTAAGCCATGTGTGGTGGTTTGAATGTGAACACCCCTAGAAGCTCCTCTGTTGAGCTACTTGGTCCACAATTGGTAGAAATGTTTGGGAAGAATTAGGAGGCATGGCCTTATTGGAGGAGGTGTTTTGCGAGAGAGGGGGCACCTTTGAGGTTTCAATAAACTCTCGTCATTCCCTCTTAGCTCTCTCTGCCTTCTACTTTCAGACCAAGACGTGGCTCGCAGCTGTTCCTGTTGCCATGCCTTTGCTCTGCCATCATGGGCTCGAACCTTCTGAGCCTGTAAGTCCATTGAAGGCTTTCTTTTACAAGTTGCCTTGGTCATGGTTCTTTGTCACAGTAACAGAAAAGTAACTAAGACAGAAGCTGGTACCAAGGAATGGATTATTTCTGGGACAGGTCTGACTATACTGTGTTTTAGGGGAACTGGAAGACTCCGGGACTCTAGACTAGGAAAATCACTGAACTTTGTAAGCGGAGCTTACCTGGCCATCCTAGCAGGAGGGAGGAAGACAAAGGGCTGAGAGCATGTAGTCTGTGGAGGCCCACAAACCTCCAGAGCTTCTAGGGGGAACAGTACTAGCCAACTGGGCCACAGCACATTCTTAGCATGTGCAAGATGTGGATGCTTTCTGCCTTTGTCCTAAACATTTGCTTATGGCAACATTGAAAAGCAATGGATTAGTTTCCTTGGCAGGAGAGATTTCAGGACAGTCTAATATTGTTTGTCATGTGGTTATTAGTAATCACTCTTTTTTTCTTTTTCTTTTTTTTTTTTTCAAGACAGGGTTTCTCTGTGGTTTTGGAGCCTGTCCTGGAACTAGCTCTTGTAGACCAGGCTGGTCTCGAACTCACAGAGATCCTCCTGCCTCTGCCTCCCAAGTGCTGGGATTAAAGGCGTGCCCACCACCGCCTGGCTAGTAATCACTCTTATGCAGGTCTACTGTGAAAAGAGCAACTGGTACGAACAGAGTTTTTGTTCCAGACATTTCCTTCTTTAAAGATACACAATGCACATTTTCTTAGGGTATTAAAAGAATCAAAATTAAAATATTAGACACCTTATGATAGTCAGTGAAGTAGATATGCGACCAGGTTCTAATGGTGGCAAATAGCTGCTCATACATGCCAATGTTTTATACCATTTTTTGATCAGCTCATGTAGTTAGCACATGATCTTCTCTGATGAGGTAAAACCGCCCGTTTCCCTAGATTGATCTGTTGCCAATCTGGTTGTCTGAAAAGCCTTTTCATATTCTCCAGCCTGACAGATGTTCAGAGGTTTGGTTTACGTTTCTTCCATCATAGGAAAAGCGGAGTTCCCGGCCAATGTCTACCAGCCCTCTTCCTATTTTCACTTTTTTTCTGCGTCATGACGATGTGCGGTTTACAGTCTGAGTTACTGACTAGTTCTCTAGACCTCAGTGGCAAGAAGGTTCAGAAAGATGGACTAACGCAAAGGGTTTCCAGCTGAGACCGTGATTTCCATGAGACTCCACAGTCCCTCCCAGACATAGCCACGCCCCTGTAGCCACGCCCTGCTATGGCCTGGGAGGACAGGCCACACCCACCGCGACAGCCCCGCCCCTGGGCACCGAGTCCGCCCTCTGCCCCTAGTGGAGGCCCGACAGGACTCCGCCCGTCCGCACAGCTACCGACCTCTGCCCGTGGTCCGTGCGGTCCCTCACCTTCCCGTTGGGGACGAAGGCTAGACGCCTAGGCACTAACTGGCGCCGCTGACATCCAAGCGTCATCCACTTCCCCTCGAAGGGGACGGGTCTTTCCCGCCACCACCACCTCTGTGGAGATGAAAGACGCCGCGGTCCCAAGCCCGCTGCCTCGAAGAACGCTGTTGCCCTGGCAACTAGAAGCGCGCGCTCTCGGTCTCGCGAGAGGTGTAAAGGGCTGTCCCGTCGGAGAGGGGCACTGGGGACCGGAAAGCGCAAGGAAGATTGCTGAAGCGGTGGGGGTAGAGGTTGTGAGACTAAGGCCGCCTATAACCTTTACTGAATGTTCTCGGTGAGGAATGGTTTGTTCCTATTTAGGCTGGACTCCGGAACGAGGATCCCGCTGTTCACGTGGCTCTGACCGGCCCCTCGGATGTCCTACAAGTCAGTTGTCCTCTTAGATCTCAGTTACCTCCCGTATCGCTGTCATCTCCTCCTTGCAAAACTGATGTGCAACTCAGAGATGTCGTACGTGAAAGTCTTGTCAAATTCGGACACCTGTGTGTGTGTGCGTGCGTGCGTGTGTGTGTTTTGTAAGGACTGGGCTGCAGTAAAATATAAAGGATTATCATGGCTTTATACGCCTTAATAATTACTCATAATCCCTCTGTGCGCAGTGCATAAGGACTCGCTGCCTGGATCACCAAACTGATGTTCTTTCTTCATCCCCGGGACTTTGCAACACCTGTTGTGTTCCGGTCTGAATAGCCCTTGATTGTTCACAAGGTGTTTTTACGCCCAGCGCCCCCTAATCCTCCCGCCTTTGGACAAGTACAGTATTTCTTCAACCTTTTTCATCAGAACAAATGAGTATAAATTAAGTTGCCCAAAGAGCACAGCTGTAATCTAAAATAGAACAGGGTGTAAAAATCTGGCCGTAAATGCCATCTGTGTGCTACTGGTCCACTTGATATCTGCAGGTCAGACATCTCTCCTGAACCCCATTCCTTTATCGGACCTCAGTAACTCATGACCCCTCAGCTGTATGAGAACCTTCTCAAACTTAGCAGATCAAAAAAAAAAAAAAAATCAAGCCACTTTTCCATAGTCTCCTCTCTCCGCTCCAGCCCATCCTCCCAGGCTCAACTCAACAACTTTGGCACTGAGTCTCCGATTCTTCCTCGCACGTGTGTTATAAATGTTGTTACTGGTCTTCATTCAAATGTATCAGAATCCAAAGGCTTCTCACACCTGCAGGGTTCCCACTTTCACCTAACTGTTTGCAATAATCTACCTGTAGTGTCTTTGGTTCAACCTCCCCCCCACACCTTGCATCTTGCACCTTCTATATACTGGAAGCACAGTATCCTACAGTATGTTCAGAACCTCCGTCCTTGGCTCCGTGTTCCCCATGACTCTCCTTTTCTCAGAATCCTTACACTGACCGCAGGTCCTGATGATCAAACTGTTACATCACTGCCCTCCAGTCTTGCTGTCTCTTCCCGATAAATGTTGCCCCAGCCTCTGTTGCCCTAGTCTTCACTGTTAATGCTTCCACTGGACTGCTCAGGAAATTTATGTTTTTCCAAATCCCCCTTTTCTTAAAGTTTGGAGATCCAAAACAACGAAGAAAATATTCTGCTTCTGGATGAGAATTAACCATTAGCAGCCTGCATAGAGATGTAACCGAAGGAATCCAGGGCACCACTGCCAAAGCAAGAGCAGAAATTATGACGCTAAGTCACAAGTTGGGGTCCCCACTTTCTGGAACCCAGGTGGAAACACCCAGGAGGGGCATGCAGTTTCGTCTGTCCATCTTTCTTAGAGCTGATATGGATTTGGGCCCTGCCTGTGCCAGCAGGGAGTCACTTTTAGTGTTGTCTGTTCTCTCTCTCTCTCTCTCTCTCTCTCTGTGTGTGTGTGTGTGTGTGTGTGTGTGTGTGTAGCCCAGACTGTTCTGGAACTTGCCACCCTTCTGCCTAGGCTTCTTGAGTACTAGAACTATAAGTCTGTATCACGACACCCAACTCGCACTGAATCATTCTTGGCAATAAAATAACATTAGGAAGCTGATACCATTGTATGCATTATAAAAATTCTATAAACAATGTTTCAAGAAATAAAAATGGGCCAGGGAGACAGCTCAGCAAGTAGAGGCATTTGCTATGCATGCCTGGAAGCCAGAATTCAAGCCACAGAACCCATGTAAAGGTAGGAGAAGAGACCCAACTCACACAGCTTCTGCTGACCTCCACATGGGCATCATGGCACATATGCATACACACATACATATACACATATATATATACATACATATATATTTATATACACATATACATTTTTAAAAAGAACAAAGAAATAATGAGTTTGGGATTCAAAATATTGGGATTCCTTGCCTTCACAATTCCCAATACATGGTATTGACTAGTAGATTAACATGCTATATGAAAAACTGATTAACCAGACTGGGCATGTCCCTCACTGGAAGGTGAGAGGCCCTGTGTGTGAGCCATGGAAGTACCAAAAGCAAGGACAAAGATGTAGCTAAGGTTGCCTGTCTAAAGTGGAGTCCAGATACGGGGAGAAGACTGCCCATCTGCTAACAGCCAGACACAAAATGGCCCAGCCGAGCTGGGTAAGCAGCTAAAAACAGTGTCCACAGTGCCTTCAGCATTTCTCACCTGGACTTGCCTAGTTAGCTAACTAATCAAAATGCCTCACCAATTAACTACAAACTACAACAAACAAACAAAAACACCTCACCTGTGCTCACCTTAACAGACACTGCTCAGGGACAACCTGGTTCTGTAGGCCTAAACTATAATTCTGTATCCTCTGTTCCCCTCAAAGATGCTACAACCTTTGGCCTTGGTATCAGTTGTCTCTTAGTTACTATTTTATTATTCAAATACTACTTAGTAATGGTCTCTGCATTTTCCAGAACTTGAATATAATTTATAATTCTTCCAAACTCATCTAAATTTAATAATTTGGATTTGGGCGTTTCTTTCTTTGTATTTTGGTGTTGTCCTTGTGGGGGTGCTGGAGATGGAGATACAGCTTTGTTTTCTTTACACATACAAAGAGGCAAGCATTTAACCTCTGAGCAGTATTCCCAGCCCTAACAGTTCTTATTGTTTGAACACATGTTTTGGGGATCATAATGGTAAGAATACAAAAGTTGGAGGTATTTTAAGAGTAATTTAATTGCAGAACCTGTACTTAGTCTGTGTGTGCTTAGCCTGCTTTGACACCAGCACCAAAGGAAAAATGAAGACCTTGTAGTTCCAATTTCCTGTCTCTCCATGGGAAAGTTCAGTATTTGTCAGGGCTTAGAAACACAACTTGTCTCTCCAACACACACACACACACAGAGATACAGAGAAAGAGAGAGAGAGAGAGAGAGAGAGAGAGAGAGAGAGAGAGAGAGAGCAGTGAGCCTGCTTCTGCGGACACACACACACACACACACACACACACACACAAACACATACATACCAGCTCCCTAGTTCCTCTACCTGGAATACAGCTGTCTTTATGGTTTGCTTCCTGAGAAGGCCCTGGCCCCCCAAGACATAATCATCTAAAATCACACTTTGAACGAACTTACAAAGAAGAAAGATTTATTTGGGACCATGCATTTGGCGTTTTCAGTTCATGGTCACTTGGCCCTTTCTTTTTGGGCTTTGGCAGCACAGTCTATCGTGGAGAAAGCACTGGTGAGACGGGCCAGCTTTCCTGATGACAGCGAGAAGCGAAGACAGGAGACTGTCCCTTCCTCCCCCGTCACCTAACTATCCCATGCAACTGCCTCACAAAAAGGCTGCAGCATCTCCCAATAGCAGCACAGGCTGGCAACAGCCATTGGCACCATTAGGGGACAGTTATCCAAATGATGACACTGAGTTTTTAAATGTTTTAATAAAGAGGAAGGGCTGGAGAGATGCCTCAGAGGTTATGAGCACTGGCTGCTCTTCAAGATGGCTGGGGTTCAGTCCTCAGCATCCATATGGTGGCTTATGTAACACTACTAATAAAAACACAGAGGCAGATATTGGGGTTCAAGCTGAAAGATTAGAGAAACAAAGCAGCCAACCACTAGAGAGCTCTTACCTCTATGAAACCTTCAGACTGAAAGGAGAGCGAGTTCCTGTCTCATCCTGCCTCATATTCCTCTCTAGAGCTGGGATTAAAGGTGTGCACAACTGCCCGGTGGCCTCCATGGCTAGCTAGTGTGGCTGCTGGGATTAAAGGTGTGGCCACCACTGTCCGGCCTTTATGGCTGACTAGTGTGGCTAGCTTTGCACTCTGATCTTCAGGCAAGGTTTATTTGTTAGATCATAAACAAAGTATCACTATTAGGCTTACAACAGTCTGTGGGATCTGATGCCCTCTCTGGCCTCCGCAAGCACTGCACACAAGTAATAGACATACTTGCAGGCAAAACATCCATACACATAAAATAAGAAATGAAAAAACGTTTGTAATAAGGAAGAAAGTAGCATTATTAGGAGTCTAGTATTGAATAGTTGGATAGCCTTAGATAAAGTCACAAATGTTTATGAGCCACCATGTCCGCACTTGGGAAATGAGATGGGGTGGGGTTTGCAGTTCTGGTCCCCGATGCACATTAGATTCACCATTGCATAGACTCCTGACACCAGGGCTGTGCTGAGAACAAAGATGTCAGAAACGGACACCACCTGTTCTACCTTTAATGGTAAATACATCATCCAATGGATGATCTTGATAAAATGCTGATCAGGTCTCTGGTGGGACTGTCACAGGTGCCATCAGGGCTCCTGGACCACAAATTGCTTCTTGATTTCCACATGCCAACACACTGTTCTTTATATGTGTACATGTGCAAGTATGTATACTATGTGAAGGACTATGTAATACACATATGTGTGTGCAAATGCAACCCAGGTGTGCCAATATGGGTGTGGAGGTCAGAGACTGCTGTGGGACAATGGTCTTTTATCCTGTCACTTGTATTATTTTTAATGAAACACTGATTGGCCAGTAGCCAGGCAGGAAGTAGAGGCGGGGCGACAAGAACAGGAGAATTCTGGGAAGAGGAAAGCTCAGTCTGCAGTCATCACCCAGATGCAAAGGAAGCAAGATGAGATGCCCTGTGATAAAGGCACCAAGCCACATGGCTAACACAGACAAGAATTATGGGTTAAGATGTAAGATATAAGAGTTAATAAGAAGCCTGAGCTAATAGGCCAATCGGTTTCTAATTAATGTAGGCCTCTGTGTGTTTCTTTGGGATGAAAGGACCGGGCAGGACAGAAACCTCTGTCAACAAGGGACAATCTCAAGTGTCAGTCTTCACCTTCCACCTGGCTCGAGACAGAATCTCTTTTTCGTCTTTCCACGGCATATGTGAGATTGAGACTGGCTAGCTCGT